AAGTTAATTTTGTTAAACCCAAGAACATTACAATATTATTCTTTTAGGCATCTAAATACCACAGAGAAAATGGTAATTAATAATGACACAATATCGATTACAATAACCATTCGTAGGTGCATTACAGGACTGAACTGGTCATGCACAGAGATATATATGTAAATTACTTACTGAATTTTTAAATTGGCTGTGCGGGGCCTTAATCCTTTGATTTTTTATCCTTCGCTCTGTAAACTGGCATTGCCACTTCTCACGAATTAATTGCCTCTAGTAGATATTATGTAAAACAAAAGTTGTGTTATATATATCAAAGCATTTTTTTTTTTACTAAAATTAAGCCGGTGTTTATCTAATCTTCGAAACGTTACTAAATTTTGTTTTCGTCGTTCAGATAGCGGATATTTTGTATCGTCTGCGTCTCAAAGGTCCTGTGCCGCATGTTTCGACATACTCACATACGAGCTACACATACAGAGAAGGAAAATACAGTTCGGCTTTAAAGTTCTCGTTATACGTCGTATTTTCTATGTAGGTGTAACAAATTTTGCAACGTGTTCCACGTTCACGGGACAAGAGTGCCCGAAGAGAGTAAAGAGATAACAATGTGTTTCTGGCATTTAGCCTATGTATATCGTTAGCAGTTAAGGTTACTATGATGTATACGTACCACGTCTCTTGGTCGTTTTAATTACTGAAAACTTCCGTAAGATAAGATTTCCGACAAAACACCGTTGCTATGTAACAGTACACGATGGCTCGCGGAGGTGAAAAACCTACCGACTCCCACTGCTTTGGCGTTTTTCGTGTGCGGTACGCGATCGTCTGAACCCACGCTGGCCGTTGTGTGCCGGCCGGCGTGCGGTGCGACGCAACCGCGGAGAAATGGTCTTTCCGTATATGGAAATTAGGGAATAAATGGTGTGGGTACTTTGTCGAGAAAGGGCGTGATATAGTGAAGCGCCGAGTTGTAAAATACTCAACGAGAATCGGAAACAATAGTTCATAAACAGAAATCAATAATTGTGTGTATAGGTACATTTTATTGCGGTAATTAAAGAAAATGGCAGAGAGGCGTGAGCACAACAATGCTACACTCAGAGAAAACTGTGGCACAAACTTCTACAATTGTAGAATTTTTCATTACAAATAGTACCAAATATAAGGACAGAAACAAGTTGTAGTGAAAATTAAAATTGTATTGTAATTACTTTTTTTCCTACAAACTGTTTGTCTCTCTACTTCAACGTTAAAGAATATGTACTGAAAATTCCTCTTAAAAATTACTTTTCATTGTAGCATATCTCTATACAATAAATTAAAAAAAATATACAAAATTGTAGCATATTTGTTTACAACAATTAAGAAAAAATTATACAATATAGTATTGTGGGTATGCATGTATCTGAGGCATAACAGAAAACTGAAACACAAATGAATTTTCAATAAAACTTGCAACATTTTTTCTTGATAATTTCTACAAAATTTATTTAATCTTACTACAATTTGTAATGAAATATTTCATTCCAATTGTAAGGAATTTGTCTGAGCCCCTGTCGATATTTCTCCTAAAATTTACCAGTATAATTTTATACTCAAATTTAAGTTTACCGTTAGTTAACCTTACTACAAATTTGAGTTGTATTTTCTTCAAAACGACCTCTACAACGTTGTAGCAATTTTTCATAAAGCATTTTTCTGAGTGTGTTTTTCTACGTGCAGAACAGTTGCATGGGGAAGAAATACAGTTCAAGAACTTTCTTAGAAGTGATGATTACAGCCTTTTACTCTATAGATCAAATGTTTATTCAGTTTCACACCTACAACCACACGGACTATGCTATCAAATATTTTTTTATATTAATAAGAACGTTTATTTTAAGTTCTTGATCAGAAATTTATGGAAACTACTAGACTACTAGACGCGGATCGCGATTTCTATTTCATTATTAGATCTCATCAGCTCGTCATAGGCAGTCTCAATAAATCACTAACCAAACCGATGAATGTCCAAAAAAGCGAGTTAATAATATCATATAGATATACTGCTTATATTTGAATATTATTTTATGTATTAAGCTGTTTTATCCTTTTAATAATACAAATTTTACAACAATTAGATATACAATAGAGGCAATATGTAGGTATATAGAAAATTAAATGCTAAATTGAACTGAAAAGAAATTAAAATATATTTGTCTATGCCTATGCTTATGTAGAGTTTATATCATCTTATTTTTTCCAAATAAACTGATAGGTACGCTGTAATATTTCTTACACACCATTTCCGAAACATTTCGGTTTCAGAAACGCTTTAGGTACATGTCTGCGTCTGAGTTACGACGATAAAAAGATAAGTAGATAATTGTCTTGTTCCGCATGATTGCTGACAAAGAAACGTAACTTCTTCGTTTAATTGTCGCCGTGTACCGTAACAATTGCCTCGATCAAAAGCAATTTCGTTGAAGGAGGAGTCTGACTTAGAAATATACAGTACGTCACGATATAGATACGACAGACACCTGATAGATGAATAAAGATATATCTCATAACAAAATACAATGTTAATTTCATTGATTGTCCTGTAATTTTCTGTCTTCAAGTACCTCTTTATATTTGCATAATTTATACATTTTGTGTCTACAGTTGCAGGCCCGGTTGGCGAGGAGAATTTTGCGACCAGTGCAAACCGTATCCTGGATGCAAGCATGGCTATTGCAACGGCTCGTCGTGGCAATGTATCTGTGATACCAATTGGGGTGGCATTCTATGTGATCAAGGTAAGAATGTACACAAACATGAATTAATTGCAGTAATAAGTGATCAGTTTCGTCAAAAGTAGTTGTTACGGTCTACCTACTTGAAATAAATAAAAGATATAAAATATAAAACGATTTATTATTTTACATATTGCTTGCTAAATGTAAAGTTGTTCTTAAAAATGCATTCGAGACGCAAAATGCAAATGGGTATTATCACAATAAGTATATTTAGAATAAAATAATTTTTATTTAATTGTTGTTTATCATCATCTGCACCTATATCGATGAAGAATGAAATAACCTGAGCAGGTTATTGAAAATTTAAGATAAACATATAATTTACTACTACACATAACGTTTAGGCGCCTGTTACGATAAAAATGAATTAAATAAGTTCATTCGTTAATCGCTGCTAGCATGAATCGGTATACAAATTAGTCCTAAGCATATATCAAGAACCCAAAAGAAAAAACTGTAGGTTACGTAAACATTAGTACGTAAATGATTAAAATCTAGACAATCGTAATTTTATTAAGGCACATTTTCACACCACCATGGAGGTATTGATAGGCGCGTTGCCTTCTGCCTGCCATCTCACTAAAAAAAAAATAATTATTTACTGATTTTTCCTTTTAAGTGAACTTACGGCTAACTTATAGAAGCGTTATTGGTTCCGGGAACAGCACCAGCAAACACATCTTCACACATACGAGTACTACAAAAATTCTTCAAAATTAGAACCTCGTGCTTAAAGAGAGGCTTAGAGACAGGCCTTATTTCTAAGTCGCCCAAAAATGGCCGGCATTTGGCGTATTTCATTTGCAGCGATCATCATGCGGCCGTGCGAATTATTAGGATTGTGCACGGATGTACAACATACAAATTTGCGCTATACCAACAGTAATTATTATGAAAATTCAAAATCCTGTGCCGTGTGAGCACAAAATTTATCTGTAACCAACAGCATTTGTCTGTAACCAACACCCTATGATAAAATTAGCCTCTGTTGCGTTTTTCTTTCGAAGCTACTGACAGAAATCCATTCACGACTGAAAATCTGTTTCAAGCAAGGCTTGTACTTGCTGTAAATGTTAAGGATTTAGCCACTGTGTTTTTAAAATTTGCCATCCTGTCACGAGAGAGGACAATGTTACTTGCTATTTCGTGTGTACTATTTTGGTGGTTGTGTTGTATGAAACCGAGGAGTTCGACCTCTACAGCGACGATATGGTTCAAACCTGTAATAACAACTATTTCACGGTGACATACTGATCTACTTCCATGACTGATGTTGTATTAAATATAAAGTTTAAACGTTGTAACCCCTTAAATCTTATTTAATCTAATCTGACAAACAATATACAATGCATGAATAAAAAATTCAAAATAAACACAACACATTTTCGGTAACATATATATATATGTATTATAAAATTTATCTCTAATGAAAAATACGTATAAGAAGGCTTTCCGCCTTACTTACCTGATTTAATAAAGCACGCGAATGTTTTTTTTTGTAAGGAAATGCCGATTTTTTCTTTTCATTTTGTGCACTCTTCAATTTTTCTTCCTAATAAGGTGATACATATATGTATGCGCAATGTCCACATTTAATTCCTTCGAAACCCCTATCGGTCCGTCGAATCTCTTCGTTTAATGACAATTTTTTTTGTTCACTCATATCTAACAAACAATTATCGCATTAGTAGTCGCCATTCCGAGCGGAAGGGTTAAACAATTTAATGTGGCGTGGAGTCATTGTGGAGACAACCCTTTGGGAGCCGTTTTAGCCCAAGTGCCTGCGCGCGAACGTCTCTTCTGATCAAGTGCACTATTGTATCTGTTTATGATGCGTGACGATGAAATCGTTAGTTAGTTGTCGGCCTTTTACACTGTATGTAGAAAAGTATAATAGAGGTAACCCCGAGCGTACGCCCCACTTGGACATTTGTTGCTCCAGTTTTTTCTGTTTTGATAAACGACAAGGGTGATTGTCCAATGGCGATTCCCCTGACGGTCCTTAAACTTTTTATAAGTGCCTACCTTACAACTATTACTTTTCAGCAGTGGCGTTGTAAAATTTAATTTATACAAGTGACAAGTGTAATTTAGATTTTTAAACCTTGAATAGTATTGTTATTATTCATTATTATGAAATTTAACTAATATACCATAATATTGGATGAACTTATTTAATGTTAAAATGAACATCTCTAGCGATAACTAAATAGACTTTCTTTGAAGATTTATCAAATTTGATCCTTTTAATCTATTCATCGGCTGATTCCTTTTTTAATTCCTTTTTTGTCATGTTACCGCCGAAATCTCGTTTTGCGTGCTATTAAATAACGAAATTATGGCCTTTTTCCAACCGTTTTTCAATTAGTAGGCAATGAAATTAGTGATTGAGCGCATGCGCTAAAGTTTATGGACATGCGCAGAAATCAGTTACTCAATGACAATGATTTCCTAACCTCTAAATCGTTTACTCTTATTTCGTCAACTATCAATTTAATGACGAGCTTTTTGCACAAACATGACAAAAAAAACAGGGTTATCTCAGCCTATATGTATGAAACCCTCGCCTTCGGCTCGGGTAACAATTCACATGCTGTCTGAAAAGACCCTGTTTCTTTCCTCGATACGTAATGTATTACAATATATAAAAAAAAAAAATGAGTTCTTTATTTTCTTGTTGATTTTCTAACGCTGAGGCAAATACAATACGCTGCCCGTAATTATAAATTTATTTCCGTTGCTTACTATCTCTCACGAAATTTTATTGAATTTGATTTGTGTATATTTTTACTATATGTTTAAAATTTTATTTATTATCCGGTTTAATATTTAGTATCTACATATTTTGTTATTTGACCATAATTAGCATAATTTTGTGTAGCTATGTTATACTTTTAAGTCGAAATATTATCCAGATGATACGCCACTGTATACATCATTACATTCCCAGGATGTTCAATTCCCATAGCGCTACAGACTGTATGTCCACGGATCCCCCTTCGGATTTAACTTTTTTTTGTGGTTCTGCAACAGTTGCATGAGTACCCGACCTCATAAGGGGGGTCCATGTGTTACAATCCCAACTTTTTATGTTTTTACTTAACAATGGGTCAAATCCATCGGTGACGATATGAAGTTGTCACCCGAATTCGACAACCCTTAATGAATAGTTTAGATGGATGGGGTCTCTATATGGGTCATTAGCGTTTAAGGTCTGTCTATATAATTTAAACGATCGATTTCTCTTTTAGTGGACAAGTCACACTGACATACGTATTAAGGAACAGTTGAGGTTTGTGAATAAATAAAATAAAAGTTCATTATTATGTAATGAACTGATTACTGATAGAGTACAAAATAATGTTCTAGTAAATAATAGAATATGTCGCTGTACACAACTGAAATAAATATTCTTTTCAATAAGTCTGTTTCTTAATATTGGTCATGCTGAATGTTGACGTTCTTATCAATTGTTCTTATTGAAGTTTAAACGTTAATATGAGTATATGTACAAGATTTTATAGTAATATTTTCAATTTTTCATATTTTAAGTTTACTTGAATGTCGCCTAACATAAATATGATTGTTTTTCAATGATGTAGAAGTTAATTTCGCTAATGTTGAGCAAAAATTATCAAAATTAGTCTTGCCTTGCAGTTTTTGTTTTGCAAGACTAATATGTACTTAGAAACGGTCGTGTGGTGACCAAGACCAAGACTAACTAAGCAAGACGAAGAGTAAAATTCTTGTAAACTTTTTATCTAAAGTTTAATACAGGTCCAGAATACTAGCTTGAAGAATGCCCTGAAAGAAACACAGAAGAAAAGCAAAAAACGCATACTTTTTTATTAGCAGAGCACAAAGTGCCCCAAAAGTTCTAATTTTTCTGAATCCGAATATTTTTTCTAAATAACTCGTTTATTTACATTTATCAAATTTAAAATGTTGTGACAGTGTACGTACCTACATAACTTTATTGTGAGATGTACGCGGTGTTTCAACAATAAACTAATTTGATCTATTAAAAATGAAATAAATCAGTTTTATGTTCATTTTCGAAATTTAAATATCGCAACAGTAAAAGGATCAATGATGATCAAGTTACGAACTGACCACTTTTTTTTTGCATTGAGTTTGTTCGTTATTATACCTCCATTGAATAAAGGAATGATGAATTCGTAAATTGCACTACCACAGGCTTTCTTAATTTAGCAGTATAATGTAGTCCTGTCCTATTCGTGTTATACGACAGCACAAGATTTTGATATATCGGTAAAGAAAGTGCTGATACATTCCAATCCGCAACACTTATTCATACCATCTGATATTTCTATCACTTTGTTTATCACACCATACACTTCGGAAACCATAAAAATTTCTGATTACTCGTAGGTAATAAATTGCCCGCGAACGGTTAATTTAGAAATTCGAAAAAGGTTGTTAAAGGTGTATGTTTCGAGCATGACGCTGTATTGCTGCGAAACATGGACAGTGGGGGCGGTGGAAAAGAAAAGGTTAGAAGCGTTAGGAATGTGGTGTTATAGGCGGATGATGAGGATACCATGGATAGAGAAGGTTAGAAATGAAGAGGTATTAGAAAGGATAGGAGAATAGAGGACTCTATGGAAGTCAATAAGAAATAGGCAAGATAGGTTGGTAGGACACCTTCTCAGGCATTAAAGTCAGAGACATATTAGAGGCAGAAACGGAAGTTAGGAGGGGTAGAGGTAGACCTAGATTATATTACTGTTCGCAAATAGTTAAGGATGTGGGTTGTTCTAGTTTTAAGTAAATGCGGATAGGAAAGAGTGGAGGTGCGTGTCCAACCAATCTTGACCAGGACTGACGACCTTATAATAATGGTGATGTAGGTATCAACCCGGTAGCTTTAACTTCATCGTAGGGGAGCCTATAGGTGCAGATAGATTATAAGAGCAATTGTTAAGACAAAATCTGAAATTTTATATTATTTCTATTGTATGCACAATCACAAAAAATATTTAAATGTAGCTGATTGATGTATCACACAATTCCACACTTTGATGGTTTCCTTTTTTTATATTACAGACTTGAACTATTGCGGTACGCACGAACCTTGTTTGAACGGGGGTACTTGCGAAAACACTGCTCCAGACGCCTACCGATGTACTTGTCCCGAAGGGTTTTCCGGAATAAATTGTGAAGTAGTCGACAATCCTTGCGCTCCAGCCCCTTGTCATCACGGAGGTACCTGTATTGAAGCCGGGGGTTCGTTCAGCTGTCAGTGTGTCTCGGGTTGGACCGGACCTACTTGTGACATTGGTAAGTTTGCCTATACATAATATATTCAACGTAGCTACATTAAATAAGTCTAGTGAAAGGATATCTATCTGTAATAATAGTTACTGAACAATGCAAAACGAAGAATGTTTTAAAACTTCCGTGGGCTTCGATGAGCTAGGTCAATATATCATCGGCCCATTGTCAAACTCACAATGGAGCTTCTTTTATGTTCTCGTACGTTATGCACAAGCTTTCTACGTTACGATCAACAATTATTTGTCTGCAAAAATTCTTATTGCGAAAGTGAAAGCAGACAGGTTTCCTTTTCTAATATTACCGATACTTCTTCGTTCGGAAGAAGATAATTATTTCAAACAGAGCAGCACATTTCTAGGGCGCGAGTAGATTCATTTATCTGTACTTTATATATACAATATAATACATACCAAACTATTTGCACTTTTTTACGTTTGTGTAACACCTTTTCAATGTATCAAAAATGAAGTCTGAATGAAATTTTTAATTGTTCAAATTTTAGAAGAACAAATGCGTTCACAGTTTACCTAAACCAATATATTAAAAAGAACTATAGTAATTTTTTTACAATCCTGATATTAATAAACAAATTTATACGTATATTGTAATTAAGAAGAGGTTAGATAATGATGTCCTTCTCGGAACTCTCCTAAGCTCCTTTCTCTCTGTTCAAAACCTTTTTTCTCATCCTGAAAGCTCCATTTCTAGCTTTAAGCAATTTCTTAGTAATCCCAATGAATATTATACTATAAATACGATAGTGTGTTTATCTGAATGTTTGTTTGATATTCATTCAGAAAATTGGCAAAAAGATTCCTTGAAATCTTTCAAAGGACATAGGCTATTTTATATCCAAAGAAAGAGTTCTCAACGAAGACAGAGATGAATAACAGTTATATTATGTAAATTGTCAGTATTTGATCACATCGATCCTTCCTGCAAATAATATGCCACTGTCGTGTAGGCTTTCAATACTACAACAATGAGTGTACACTAATTTGAAAATAGGGCCATTCAGATTATTGGTGGTCACTGTCTCTTGTTGTCAACAACATACATGGTGACAAAGAAGACCAGGTTTCTCGACGACATATATAGGATTATTCTAGAACTTGGCCAGCCGCTATAAATAGCTGACCAGAAATCGAGTAGTGGTACGAGTTCACATGGTGATACGAAGTAAAGACGAAAAAGCGAAGAGGAATTCATACAGTGCTGAATTGATAACTAATTAATAGTATTAGTGTTAATTAGACAGCAAATAGTTAAATATATTTATAAAAGTAGTAACAGTGCGAGAAGGTGTTTAAATACGTGATAATACGCATTAAATATCTTCTATGTCTTGTTCTTTCCATACCCGTACAATAAAGATACGGTATCATATTTAGTTATACAATTGAAGCTAACGACTATAAATTATTTGGACGGTCCTGTTTTCAAACAAGTTAACTAGAGCGGTATCATAGTAGCGAAATCATGCACAAGAAAAACACTGAAATTCACTGACCGGAGCACATTAAAACTTATGAAAACAATGCAGTCTTCTAATGACAAACAAAAACAAACCGCACAGAAAAACAATGAAAACTTAACTTCATTTCTAATTTGAAGCATGAGGGTTTTTTTACTTTCCTTCGTCTGACATGCAATTGTCGAAGCGCTGCGTTGTACAGTGGTGGGGAAAACAAATCGGGCATGTGACACATGGTAACAGTATAGGGAGAGCCTAGAAATTAGAAAGAGTAAGAGAACAGAGGACTCTATGGAAGTCAATAAGAAATAGGCGAGTTGGGTTAGTAGTACAACTTCTCAGCCATGAAGGTCTTGTCAGAGACATTTAGAGGCAGAAACGGTAGTTAGGAGGGGGAAGTTAGGAGGTAGACCTAGATTAAATTACTGTTTGCAAATAGTTAAGGATATGGGTTGCTCTAGCTTTAGGGAAATGCGAAGATTATCGCAGGATAGGAAAGAGTGGAGGTGCGTAACCGACCAGTTTTAGGACTGACGACCTTATGATGATGATGATGATGAAGTTTTCTCCACTGCCTACCTGACAATGCCCATGCGTGTATGTGCGGTACGGTGTGCGCGAACCAATACACACACATAAGTACAAGGGAACAGGAACTCATGGTATTTTAAAAATTATCGACTCATTAGAGAGTAGCAGTCGGAGGTGTAGCAGAAAGAGTGTATAGGAGGAACAGACGCATAAATAGTTGAGTCCAGTAGTACCTCCATGGTACCTCGGAGGGCATTGTGCGACTATCAGTCCTATAAAAAACACGAAACTTTTCACCACAATACCATGGGCTGGAGGAGTCTTCAGGAGGGATAGTCAGAGTACCGTGCCATATGAAATCGAATGTGACTGAATCTCATGACGGCTAGAGAAGCAGTTTTGCCTTTAGAAGGTAGAAAACAACCTGCCTATGGGCCTGGCCGCGTAATAAAATATGGGCTAGGTCAACATTCATACCGCGTGGCATCTCATTATCTTGTGTGTGTGTGCATGGTTCAGATGTACAAGAGGCCCACTGTTACTATGATACAACAATAAAAATGAATTACTACAAACAGCGTGTTAAACTCCACCTATAGTATATTGCTACAATTAGTGGAATTGAAAAATGTTCAGTAAGGTCCCTAAGGATATCGACTGAAATGGTAGTCAGTATTCCATCGAAGTCGTAAGATGTGGATGACGATTTTAATCTACTTAGAACTCATCTGGTCGTTGTAGTCAGTTTTGATAGAACACAGACCCATTTTGCCTCTTGTTTTAAGGCAGTGTTGTATAAATTACTACAAACAACGTGGTAGTATATTACTACCTTTACTGGAATTCAAAAATGTTCAGTAAGGTCTGTGAGTATATTAATCGACTTGAACTGAATCCACGCGTAGGTAACTAACCCCACGTGGTAGGCACAAAAGAAATGGTTCCTTTTCTATGTCGCAAATGCACACCGTGTCATTCACTTCATAGAGGCAAAAGTAAATGCATGGTCTGATGAAAAACCATGCAACCGAAGTCGCGATTACCAGCTAGTGTTTTATGTACTTAAATTGTTAGGTGTTTCTTCTACGTATACGAACACATATTTGTCTACTCTGTAAAGAAGCGAAAAATAAAACAGAAAATCATGAGAACTAAGGGTCAGTGGATAGGATGACGAGAGTTTCGTAACAGAATATTTGCATAGACCGTTCGCTGCTAATCGACGTAATAGCAGACGGGGGCAATTAAGATGTAAATTAAATGTATAAATGCATCGTGAATCTTCGATAAAGTTCTCTCGACGAGTTGGAGAAAACGTTGCTCAACAACCAGACTTCTGTTGAATTAATAAAGGCTACAATGAAGAGGTAGTCGAAGAGAGAGAGAAAGATAGAGAGAGCGAGTGAAAAAAAAAACGCACTAGGAAGAATTGCAAGGATGAATTAATTCAATTGTTTGCGCAGGATGTGCATAATTATTGGCTTGTTTTGCGCCAGCTAACTTGCTATTATCTCTTCTGTATCTTATTCTAGGTAACTTAGGTACACGTATTTTTAGATAATCCATTCTCAGCAGTGTGTCGATGGGCACAACAAAGTAAATACCTTTTTATTAAAATACTGTGAGGTTTATCTACACATGCCTTTATCAGTGTCTTAAATTTAATTGTATATTTTTGTCAGTATTCTATCTGCTACCAGTACATGTCAATGATGTGGTAAATTCCTAAAGTTAATATATTTTGTTTATATATCAGCCATCCACTGGTTGCTTCATGAAAAGCCTAAACAATACGTATAACATTAAAAGGACAGATATGTGAAGGTCTAATAAGTAAATTTCTTGCAGATATTCATTCATACACACAGTGTACCTACAGCATTAATGAACATTATCTAACTCGAGTAATTGTTTCTTTTTTCTATTGTCATGTCTAATCACAAGAAGCAATAGTCAATGTATCATAAACAGGAATAAATGTATTTTAAGCGTAATTAATAAAGGAACTTAAGTAGTATATTTTACTGCAGATGAAAAGTTTGCATTGAACGTATTAATATTGAAGGTTGATTTTGTGTTGTATCCGTTGGTTGTTCAGTTGTTCGATGAAGAGGACGGCTCTACGTCTTTACGTCTCTGAGTCTTTATCGGAGAGATGAGAGAATTAATAGAGTGCACTTTTATAAAAATAGAAGCCGGTCGACTGGTCAGTATAAATCAACGTGTACCTAGCAATTACCTCGGTCCCCCGCACCGTTATTATATCTATTACTGGTAGGGAGCGCTTCGCGGTCGCGGGGAAACTTAATTACGACCACGGAGCTCGGCTCACCTTTGACCTTGCATTCCACTGCTGCCACCTTTTGAGCTCGCGTGAATCTCCGATTCTTGCTGCTGATGCTGTAGAAATACGTATATTATGGTAGTGTTGCTGCTGCTGCTGCTGCTGTTGATGTTGCTGCAGCCTGCCGTCTCTAAACCTTCATCCACCACCACCACCACCACCAAGAAGATGCAGAGACTCTTCTTATTCGCCTTCCTTCTTTCCTTTTGTGATCCATCCGTCTATCTTATTCTATTTTTGCTCAAGTAGACGGTCACGCCTGAACAACTGACGCCGCTCGACGACTTGCGTGATGGAGGAAGATTTTCTCGATGTAACTGGACATTCGACTTATTAGTCCATGCTCTTACCCAACACTCAACACCCTACTAACGCTTTTTTTTCAACTTCTAATCGCTGATTCTTTAATATAATAGATACATTACGCATAGTAATACAAAACAATATGCATGGTAATCAAACCAAAGACATATTTATATGACAACCTTTATCTATTAATACGTAAAAGAGAGTTAAAGTTTTCTTGAGGAGTTCCGGGAGTTATAGTTACAAAAAATTAGTTTCGTACAAAAAATATTAAATAATGCTCCAAGACACGTGCGCAAAATTTGATTTAGTGAAAGTATTAAAATTAACAGTGAAACGAAATGGATG